CCCCAAAACCCCAAAACCCCAAAACCCCATGCTGGCTGGGAGCCGGCTTTGAGGATTTCTAATTCTAGAACAGGCAGCTGGAAGCTACCCAATGAACAGTTTGGAGACTAAGAGTAGTGCATTTAGGGAGGAAATATAGAGATTTTGAGGACCAAGAGAGGTTTTGGGTTAGAACTGGGCTGTGTTTTAGGAGATTTGGTGATGTTTAGCCTAAAAGGGCTCTTATTTAGTTAGAGATTGAAGATTTTAGGGAATTTAAGAAATTATTGGAGATTTTGAGGGTGGAAGAATGATTTTTAGTTGGGAAAGGGAAATTTGAGGGAGATGTTGGTAGTTGAAATATGAATGAATAGGTGTTGTGTTCGGATTTTGAGGGAGGTGGAGGCTATAAAGGATAATATAATTGGATTAAATTGGAATTATTCATTGTAAACTTCAAATCTCTTGCTAAAAAGGTCCTTCTGTAAGATATTAGTGAGAAGAGCATTTGAAAATTACTAATAAACAGAAAATAATCTTAATGTTAATAGCAAAATCTTAAATTAACCAACTTTATACAAATAAAGTCTAAATTTCAAATAAGATTTCCATAACATAACAGTCGCACAAACCAACTCTTCAACAAATCACCCAAGAAGAACAACTACAATCTTTCTAAATTGACCAATTTTGCCTATCTCCATTAAAAATCAACTCTTATGAAGGGTAATAATGATGCATTGGGTTTGGTGGTTGAGGGGTTGGGAAGACTTTTTGGATAATTTGTATTGGGAGACTGAAGACTAAAGATTGAGCATGGAATTATTTTGTTAATTTGTTGTTTGTTGGTATTGTTTATTGTAATTTTTTTGAGTCAGATTTAGAGTAATTAGTTGGAAGATGGTTTAGAGATAAATTTGCTAAAATGAATGTAATTATTATGTTGATCTACTTCTGATACTTCACATTGCCTTTGAGATATTTTATTCTTAGTTTTGACTTGGAGCAAAACAAAAAATGTTACTCAGAATGTCCATTTCTTCCAATAAATCATTTTGCTTAGCTGCTCTTTTAGGCTGAATAACTTCGATGTCAGCAGAATTGTTAATCAAAGATGCATTTCCAGCGAAAAATTCTATTTTATCTCCTTCTATTTTCGATTGATAATTGCTCACAGAGGCTTGATTGTCGTCAAGTTTTGATCCTATACTTGCATCCATCTGACTCAATGGCATAATCTGAATAGTGCAAGGATACTTTGGAAGGATCATATTAGTCTCTTTATCCAGTTGTTTATACTGACTAGGAATTAAAGATTCAATTCTCTCAGCTTGTACAATAACTCTTCCTCTACTAAGAGCCACTATGCTGCATCCCTTCTTAATCTTGATCATTGCTTCTTTGTTTGCTCCTTTGGGTTTAGACTTTTGCTTTGGCTTATTAAACTTCTTTAGCACATTGACTTTTGAATCTGAGTTAGAGTTTGAAAAAGAGTCAGTTCTACCTTTCGAGACTCTCTCTATTTTAAACAACTTCATCGAAGAGCCACAGCTACTATTACTCTGAAGTTTCTTCTCTTTGCTCATAGTTGAGGAAAAAGAGTCTTGCATACTCTTTGCCATCTCTTTCAAGTCTCTCTTCTTAAAATTTACACAATTATACTGATTTCCATCTCCTCAACTATTACTTGAGATTACTTCACTTCCCAATCCTGGTCTTCTTCCATTAGCCTTGCCATCTAAAGTCTCTGAAGATTTCTCTTGGACATGGAAACTCTCTGAGGATTCGAACTGATAGAGAGGAGTAGCATCGCACATATTCTGTAGTACATATTCCATCGGATTATCTGTATTATAGTCCTTCTTGATCTTATCAAAGTACTTCTGGAGATGAGACCTGATCTGAATGCTTGTTCTCGTTGGAATCTATAGAGGAAATATCTCTGAAAGATGATTTTAGAGTACCATTTCTTCAAGGATATCCCAGTTCTTCCCATACTTCTTCAGACCTAGATGATTATATGAGCTATTAATTACAATTAACGAAGGTTTGGTGTTCTTCGAATGACCACCTCCCTCTCTCTTTTTGAATTTTTGGGTAGTATTGGACCATCTATAAAGAAGGTGATAAGCCAAAAGCTAAAATTTAATGTTAACAAGGATGTGAAATAAAGAATCAATGAACTTTACCATCTCTGAGGGAGCAAGGATGCTCCCTCTTGTATAGTATTGCGAAACATCTTTTTCCTCTTCCATCTATAGCGTGTTAGAAGGCTTTTTCTGAACTGTTTTAGGTGCTTTGAGAGTATTTTAAAAGTTTAATTACAAACAAATCTCTCTTTTTGAGACAACTTTCTTATATTTCTGAAGCTGAATACATATAGTAGTTTAAGCTCTACAAAAGAGAAAGAAACAGCTAGAGGAGAAAGAGTACTCTTGAATCAACTTCTTGCTTTAATGAGAAGGTTTACTATCATTAATTGTTAAGAGTAGCTTAAGACCAAGATAGCTTAAGATCCCAAAATTATTTGAGTATAAGAGTTAAAAAATTAATAATTAGGTGATAAAGATGAAGGATATTCTTGAAAAAAGCTATTAAACTGGGTTAGACAAGATTTGCAAAACTTTATATGAAACCTTCATAAAGCTAACTATCTCAAAAAACAAGATTCATTCTTTGTTAGCCCTCCATCATCAAAACCCCAAAGAAATTACTAAAATCCCTCCTAACATTTCATTCTCATACCCAAAAGTTCAATAACCTCCTAAGCATCGATTTCTGCTCAATTTCATTAAAAAATCACCAAAAACTCCAATACCCAAGTTCCAGGTTAACTCCAAAATCTTTATCAAATCCTCCTAAAAGCCATCACCTTTTAAACCAGACTTAGCCTAATCCTTATAAACACAAAGTTCGACCTATGCCATAGGTTGACCATGCATAAACCTGAAATTATATTTGCATGAACAAGAACTCAAAAATCATAGGTGAAGCTAGGGTCTGGACTGGATCATAGAATCTGTGAGGGAATAAAAGGAGTTTAGAGTGATTTGTGGAATGTTCTTTGAGGTTAGGATTTTGCAATAATTCTTATAGATTTTGAGAAACTGAGTGGTAGGATAAGACATCCAAAATATCTAAGATATCTTCCATATGAAAGCAGAACTTTATTCTTGAAACAAAGAGCTTTATGATAAAGTATGGCTCTTTTGCGAGAGGCTAAATCCCGAAGGTTGTCAAGTTAATAATTTCATATAGATTCTTAAACCTTAGAGTGTAGCTTATAATCTAACTATAAAGATTTAAAGCAGGTGAAGGGAAGAGAGCCTATATAGTCATATAATTTTTAAATCTTGTCCAGACTCAACAGGCATGGGGCTTATCTCTCTATTGGCTCTGGGGAGAGAAATAGAAATATCTACTAGTCTTGAAAAATTATACCATTCTTCTCAAAATTATCATAAAAACTTTTAATTTTTTAGAGAGATATATATCTTCTGAAGTTTATGGTTTACCGAGGAGTAAACTTGAATTAGAAATTTTAGTAAGCCCCCAAAGCTTTAGCTATGACAATTCTGAACATCAAGATGTATAGTTAAGTCTCTTTAGAATCAAGAAAAATACCTTTCCATACTCACAAACCCTCCTATCAAAATTTCGAAATCTCAAGCTCATCTCAGCCCTCTTATTTCTCCCAAATCCCCTCAAAACCCCAAAATCCCCACCCAACAAGGAAGCCCCTAATTCCCCCAACCTACCCAAATCCCTACAAACAACCCCAAAATTCTCCTCCATTTCCCAAAATCCCTCAAAAAAATCCAATTTTCCCCTCTCATCGTCCTCAGTCATCCAAAACCCCAAAATCCCAAAATTCCAAAATCTCTACTAGACATGTACAGTAAAGGAAGACAAATTTAGCTGGAGAGAGGTTTTGTAGGAACAAGAACAGGGGTTTTGGGGGATTTTGGAGGATAGGTAAGGGAATTTGGGGGTTTTAGGGGGGTCTGTGTGTATAGGAGGTGGAATGGGGGAAATTAGTGGAGAAGGAGAAAGATTAAGAGAGGGAATTGGAAGTATTGTGCGCTTTTAGTAGATGTAGGATTTTGTTGTGAGTAAGAATTGATCATTTTTTCTAAATATGGGCTTATAGGTGTATTAAAATAATATTTTCAGTTTATCTATTGTGTGTAGTTATTATAATGAAGAAAGTTCGTGGAGAAGGCAGAGATAATAACCCCGCTCTGTTTGGATAACAGAAAATGTAAGATCACCCATAATTGAAGACTTACCTAAAATATTTAATTTTCAGCAGATCCCTCATCAATGGGGTTTTGGGGTTTTGGGGTTTTGGGGTTTTGGGG